GTTGACGATTGTTTCCTTCCCAACCGAGCGGCCACTGTGCGAACACAGCCCACGTGGCGCTTCTTCATCTGGGTGGCCTCCATGGCCGTGATCAAGGCATTGGGCGCGTGGATGCTGTTCTTGTCTAAACCTCGCGGTTCGGACCGGCTCGCTCGGAAAAACACGATTCTTGAGCACCACAACGGCGGTCTTAGGATCGGAGATGGCTGGGGACCTGGAGAGGAAAACAATGAGCGGACGAAAATTTGGATCATAGAGTGGAGTGTGACGGAGCTATATCACATGATCTGAGACAGATATCACATTCTGCCTCGGAATTTGCCGGAAGGACCTGTGTCGGTTCTCGCCGGCTAGGGCGCCAACGGATCCAGCAACCAGTCCTCAAGGCCAAGATGACCAAGTTTCCAAGCGATTCATTGAATTCTGGTGATGAACCGATGAACCATGGAGATCCATGGAAAACGCATGCCAACCACCAAGAACATTCAAAAGTTCCGCTAAAAATCCACAAATGCCGTTCAAACACCACGGTTCAGGGCTGATCGATGTTTGTACATGCCGCACAAGCGTCCAATGCCCATTGGTTTGAAATGGATATTTGTCGCTGGCCAAGACGGCCAGGATTAGCGTCGCAGCACCCATCTCGGATATCCTGCGAGGAACTGTCACCGGGAGGGGATGTCTGGGAGCTTGAGCGAAATCACCCACTCGATCCTTCCTACAAAAAAGTTAAACAACATGTGATAAATATACCAAGCGCCCTTGACCGTGTACTTAAGAAGCATCGGACATCCTTGGCGGATTTTGGGGGTAGTATGTGGCTATGGCTGGGACATGCTATGACATGCTATGACTCTATGGCAAAGGGTTTAGGTTTGTCGTAGAACACATCGACATGCGGTATAATTACTTTACGTCCTCAAGTAACCACCAATAAGGTCCCCAAAGAACCAGGCCGCAAGTGGCTCCTGGCATCCCTACTAGGAGCAAGGACGCTACAAACTGCTTGGACCACTCAACCCAGGTGACTGTCCAACCGGTTGCAGTGATCCACATCCCTTCGGCTTTCCGCCCGCAAATCCACTCCGAATCCGCTTCGCGAGACAAGCGCCCGAATCCGCTCCCAGTGCGGCTCAAATGTATCTCTTTGATTGGGAAGGGCTGGCTCTGAATCAGCTCGGTCATCTTGCAAACGCCATCATCACCCAAATCTCGGATCACGGGAATATCAGAAATCAAAAGTGAGTTGCCCCGCATGAAGTGATGCAGTGAGACACTCAGTGAGACATATAGAAACTCGTCTGTCACCGGGTGCAACCTCCGTGCACCTCGACTCTTTGGCATCAACAGGCAGTACCAACGCCAAAAGCAATTACAAACACTTACAGCAATTGTAGGCAACAACTATATTCTGGTCTACTTGCCTCCTTCTGTTGCTTGACACGGGATGCATTGCATCAACTCAAAGGATTTGGCAACCAATGTTCAATTTCAATGCCAAATACGTGACGGCCTCTCGCACATCCATCTGTTGAAGCTGCTTGTGCCAAACCCGAGAGTGCCATCAAGTTGCAATCGTTATCGTAGCAGCGAAAACATTGAACACAAATTGGAGGAGTCACCTGGCCAGAGCGATGACATGTGACATGTTCGTTCGTCCTGGGTGCCTACAAGCATGTGACTGGACAGTAGCTAAACGCAAAACATCTCACCTGAAAAAAACTGAAGCTGAGAGAAGATTGTCACCAGCCTTGTGCAAACGAATCCTCAGCGGAAGCTGGAGGTCTGATGTTCAAACTACCAGGCATAGTCAGGAATGCTCTTCAGGCAGTGGTCTCGGAATTCTAACTTGCTCACCCGCCCGAGCTTTGACTACCTGTTCCTATGATGTACAGCTCCGAGGCACAGGAAGCTAACGACCAAGGCCAAACCATCTGCTTGGAGGTCACAGCCACTCAAGTTGATATCCATGTAAACACCTAGACCGAGAATGGGCGAGCGATGAAGTGAAGGACCTGAGGCAGGTGAAGTGGATCATGTCTCCCACAAGAGTGCGCTAATTGAATCTCATGACAGTTTTGTTTATGTTTGAAAGTAGGCAGTTGTTCGCTTGTTGTTGCTCTTAGCCATGCTCAGCAAACTGCAGCAACACGCCATCCGATCAATTAGTGACCTCGAGTCCATGTCAAACAACCTTTTGCATAAGGTAGTCCCCGCTTAGCACAAACGCACTGGCCAACCGAAGCTGCTATGATTGGGTCTTCCAGGAGACGGCATGAGCTTCCTTCTGCTGCTATGATCTGGAGATGTCTTCTCCGAACATCAGCCAGGTGTTTGAAACCAACACACCTATCTGATAGGAAGGCAATCCCTCCCTCTCTCACAGTTTCCTCCAGCCACAGTCACGCATCCCGCGAATCACCGCCGCGACGAACAACGCCGCCGGCGTCGAACACTCAGACGCCAGGTGACACTCGGAGTCCGCTTTCTCCAAGGCGACATCCACCAGCTCCTCACCGAAGAGGTCCGGTCCAGGCGCATTCCCGCGCATCATGTGTCACAAATGGGAAGAATGGGAGGCAGGTGCAACCTCATGCCAAATCAATCTTATAGCCCGCTCGCTGCTAAGCAACCCTACTTTTTGTGTTCTGACAAGGCCCCGGCATTGAGTTTGGATTGTTTCATTGTGCCAACCCCTCCCATAAAAAACATAAATGTGAGCTCCCATCAAATACGTCCAATGATTGTGGGCTTCGGCGTTCCCAAACACAACCCCCAAACACAAAGCAGGAATGCTTTGGCTAGTTTTTTAGCACATTTCCCGCATGGTCGTTGAAACTCTCTATAGTCTATAGTCCTTAAAAAAGGCATCTGTGAGGTAGGTAGCTATCTGCTGGCCAGCATTCTTCCAAGACAGGTCCTTAGTGAGCAGCTTCAAGCGCACAAACAGATGTATCCACGGCGACTGCAGCAAAGGGCACAGCGGTATTCACGGGAGCCGCCAACATCTGCGAATTAATCCTTTCCACCAAGACAAAGCCTTGACCAAATAAGTGAAACAAGCAATCCATTTAACTGCCATAAACGTGCGAACAATGTAAGGTTTGAATTGCTGGAGGGAGTCGAAGGTTTGAATTGTATTTCTAGGCTGGCCCCTTCAAGTGGAGGACCCTCAGCAAAAGCCAGCACAAACTGGAGTTTCCTTGTGATGTACTTCACTGGTTGCCCCACCATGTCACATGTCCCGCCCTTCATCATTCCACGTTTGTCCCCAAACACCCTGCAACCCAGCATCCATACAAAGTACGCCCGCCTCGATGCAATACTGCAAAAGCACACATGGTCCGTGACTCTGACAAGGGTGCATCGTTAAAGGGAAAGCACTGAAAGCACGGCTTTTCTTTTTTTGTGGTGTAAATGGTCAAATGACATTAAGATGCATTTAATAATGCATAAAGCCACGAGGACCAAGGGCCTAAAAAGAAAACCTCGCGGTCCTCGCCTGAACACACAGCAGGACCTTTGACGGTTGCTCCGGCAAAGCATCCCTCGGCCGCCAGGCTCGAGCCGAGCCTGTGGCGCCTGGGCGACGACGGGAGCCATGTGGAAAAGGGTCGTGCCATGGAAGATGGTGCGAATAAATGATCAGATTTTGTTGTTCAAAGGTTTTCTGACTCTATAATAACCTATATATCATGACTCATTTACATAATTTATGGTAAGTGTTGTAATGTGTTCTATTCGGTCTGTGTCACTCACCTACTCAACTCTCAAGGAACCTTGTGCAGCAAAATTTAGCAACTGCCGTTGTACAACTGGCTTCACTTGTCCTCAGGTAGGGCGGGCAAAGAACTGGCACAAACACATACAATCATAAAGTTGCCCTGGAACTTCTGATATAGTGGGATATCTTCTGACTACAGACTGTCATTAGATATACAGTAATCAGTATTTTCAACAGGGCATCCCGTGAGCGTCGTCGAAGTGAGCCGGCATCATGCAAAAGGATCAGTATGATAAGCGATAACAAAGAACATCCTCTCATGCTGGATGCCCAAAGTCATAGGCTTCGACTAAAATCAGCAGCTGAAATGTCCAAGCACAGGGGATTGGAATCTGCTGATCGTCCACTTGTATTATCTTGGTTCAACCAGGGGCGTGCGTGTACAAAGGCCCAATACATTCCAAGGTGCCAATCGCCGTGGAGCCCTGCGGGGCTAGGATAACACCGCACAACTGATACACACTCATGTTTGGCCAAGTGCTGAAAGGGTTGGGAAATTTGGATGGATCAGAAGTACCCGGAGCTGAAGACTTTGTGGAGCCCGTGGGAAGCGCACCTAAATAAAGTTGATTCACAAACGTTGATTCGACGTAAACGTCTTCCCGGCCTTGACCATCATTCAAATGACATCAACAGGAAGCAATGAACGTGCCAAGAAGAATGCAGCTGCATATTTAGCAGGATATCATTATTGTCTGAAATCAGAATCCGCGCCCATCTGTATGTAATGTATGTAGACCGGTCTCACGAAAAAAAAGCTTATGCTGCGACGCAACAACCTTCAAACCGGACCGGCCCTTTGAGCCAAGCGGTGATGTTCGATTCAGATTTACTGGTGACTTGGGAAGGGGGCCACCGGAACGATTGCTGGGTGTTCTGAAGCAACATGAAGCAACGACCTGTCAGACTGTCCATCGACTTCTTCCTCCAGCTTGCTTTCTGAAGGGCGAAAAAGTGCTCCAAAGAAAGCCTGGTGGGAGAGCAACAAAAACAGCCCAGTTGGCAAGCTATACCTAATTCGAGACACCATGATACACCCAGTCCGTCCCGCAAAGCCCCCCAGATTTTTCTTGTTCTCATGCGCACGTCGTTGTGTCATCTGCGACGTGCGCAGCCAGGCTGCAGTCGTTTTTGACCTCGGCCACAGTGACGCCCGCCGAGGCGGCGGTGAGAGTGGTTTGGCCTTGAAACCCTACAAATGCTCGATGCCGTCATTCGTGGGGTACACCCACCCCTGGTCCCGTTGCGAGTGGTACGCCGCGCCGTGCCCTTGGACCCAAACCTCCTGGTGTTCTAAATCTTATCTAAAGCTTTACATCTTTGGTGCCGCCGGTTGTGGGCTTAAAGGTTGCATGCAACCCTCGCAGCACATCCCTGGCAGCTTTTTCGCCCCCGGCCGTTCTCTGTCACTACTCTCCGTCTCCCCAACTCACCAGCCACGCCAATGCCATGCAGGGTGTCTCCGTCCCTGAAGCGCTGCTTGTCACATCATGTCCAATCCGTTTCCACGTCGGGCCTCCGACAAGGGCCGTCCCAAGCGCCGAGCGCCGCGGCATGGCGCACTGGAGCTTCAACGTGGATCTTTCACCGCCGAACTCTCGTGCGTCGTGGCTCCTCCAAAATGAAGGCTTGGACTGGCAAGTTTTCATGTCCAACCACACTATGCAAATGAACCATCCTACACCAGAATAGACTCCAAATGACTCCCAGCAGCTTCGTAAGCAGAGATGTCTTTTTCTTCGCGGATGGACCAGACTCTAGGGCTCATGTCACATGTCACCAGGCAGCACGCACACAACGCGCACACACCCGAACACCTTGGGAGGACAATGGTTTTGGACACACCATCTGGACAGAGTGGTCATGGACTGCCTCGTTCGAAGCCCCAAGAGTGAACGGTTTTGGGGAACGAGAGCGAACGAGAGGGCAAGAGGAGGTAAATTGTGCTTTCGTTTTCGGATTGCGGGGGACCTGCATGAGAGTTATCATGGCCAAATCATGGCAGGCCCACTCCTTCTTCGGAGTCTTCGCAAAATCATGGCATGTTCAATGCCTCCTCATCAATCAGCTGAGCCAAAAAATCAGCTAGCGCAGGTGGCTCACATGCAACAAGGTCGGGTGGGGCAGCTGGTGGCCTCCATCCGGGGACCTGCAAATTGCTGGCCAAGGGCCACTGCTCCCATCCGCAGCCGCAAGCGCTGGCGCCTCACCAGCCATCTCAGCCATGTACGCGGGGACTTGGAGCGCTCGGATGACCAACCACAGGCGACAAGCAAGCCGCTGCCACAGCATGGGCAGGTGCAGAAACAGCAGGACAAGAAGAGAACACAACAAGCTGCGACAGGAGGACACCAAAAGGCCACTAGGAGGACTACCGGAGGGCAACAAACGGTTCGCCGCGTGGATATAGACCGTGGCAAGCTATTTGTCCTTCTATAAGGAAGAACCCAACAGTAAACTATGTAAACCAAAGGGTCTCTAGCTTAAATGCTATCAGAAAGTAATGTTTAAAGATATCTTGGAAGACCATCACTGCCCCTTAAATAAACATTCGCACAAATAGTTCAAGGACCTGCTTGGCTCCTGCATGTCAGGTCTGCAGCTCCATTTGTTCAGAGAAACTGCTCTCCAGAAACTTCAAGATCTCTGCTTCATTCGGCATCGCTGACATCTCCAAAGCTCGCAGGGTTGGTTGGCCCTCCTGCCAAGCATATAGATTGCCAGCATTCCAAGTGCCACGTTGGTTGGAAACTGTAGACCTTTTCGGAGGGATTGAGGGACTACACTATGGGCCCCGAACGCGTGAAACTTTGGGAGTCTTGGAGGTCCTTGGTCCTTGGTCTCTTTTTGAGGTCATGGACCAATGACGCGCCACAGAGCACACTTGCCACAACCAACATGCAACTCCTAAGAAATGGTCACCCTGAAGCAACCGTTGACTGTTGACTGGACCCACAGAAGTAGAGGGCCCTACTTCCTTCTTTACCTGCTCACTGGCCCCAATTGACATCGGCAAAGATTCACCGTCCTTTGTCTTCGCTTTGGCTTCGCTGAGAACTTCCCACAGAGCGGACTGATCGCTGGGCTGCCAGCACGAAGGGCACAAGGAGCTGGGCGGCCAGCGGCGGTCAGAGTCCACACAGCTGTGCAGGGCAGAGACGCGTGTAGAGACTGCGGTGTGGAAACGCCACAAGTAGAGAACCAGCTCCTGATTTTCTCAAATCTTCCGGCAATTTGGAAACCGCTAGATGTTCGAGATTAAAACGTGAGTTCAACTCTACGAGTTAAACGATCCACCTCAACCTCGGTCTGTAGAATTCCACTTGGTAAACACCACAGGGGACCAAAGCCTCGAGACCCAGCTGCATTCTTCTGCATCTCTGCTAAAAAGAATGAACAAAAGCAGGCTAAGGTCCCTAGCAACCGGAGGTAAAAGCAATGAAACCTGCTTGTGGAGATCCTCTTGCGTCCTGACCCGGAACCGGATGCCAAGTTCAAGCCTTGAGACAGACCCTTTCAGGTATATAAATCACTGGCCTAGTGGCCCAAGACTCACCCTTCCAACCCATCTCTGGGTCTGAGTCTGGTAGTTGGAAGATGTTTGAGGTAATGTGGGCCGCCTGCATTTCCAAGATCAGCCCAACAGGCATGGCATGGCGAGGCCATCCACTCCAAGCACTTCCTGCCTACTGAAGAAAGAACTCCAACACCACCCGAGGCAAGAAAAACCTATTTACAGTATAATTGCAGTCGTTTTGCGGTGTATCTGCAGCAAGTGAATCTCTGCAGGGTGTTCCCTCATATCAAACCTGCATCTCCTGTCCAGTTTGGCCCGGTGTCCTCATAGGATTCTTCAGCCAACTGGCGACCATAGGAGCCTTCCTCGTACTGCCGCAGGAAATGCCTTCGGCAGTAGTGACACTTGAAGAAGTGATCGATGAAACCACGCAAGGCACTGAGCATCCTGGGCTGGGCCACTGTGGAGTGGCAAAGTAGACGGCACACATCCCAAGAAGTGACTCATAGAAAGCCTCATCTTTAAAACGGCTTATTCACACACGCACAAGCAATACGTGTATGTATACTTGTATATATGCAAATACAGTTACATATTCATACTTACATATGTATATGTATATAATCGTATACATATGAATGTGTATAATGCATACTTTCAATGTTGCATACCTGTGCAGCAACGATTGTGCCATCTACTTTGATAAACCAGTGAAAGGAACTCACTGTCACTCCCATGGTCGTGACTCTCGCTCTCTCAAGACCGTTGCCAGTATCCCCAGATGTGTTGGGTTCCGTAATAGATTATAGATCAACTACGACTTAGCCACCTACCCTACAATTCCACTCGGCTTGCCCTCAGACTGGATCCCTTCTCCAAGTCTCGCGTGCGGCTGTGCAGGGCGCGACTCTAAACCCATCCTCTCCTTCCTCAGGGTCGGACTTCTCATGCTCAAAAAGCTGATGGGCTGGCCGCTAGCAGTCATCCCATCCAACATTAAGTCTGGGGTCTCAATGGCATCAGAAGTTCTGAAAAAAACTACTCAAATATACAAATTATACAAATGACTATTACAATCAAAAAAACAGCGCGCTCGAACAACTTCCAAGATCACCAAGCAAAAAACCTACCTGGTATACCAGTGCTAGCAACTAAACACAGCGCAACTCCTCAGATCTGTGGTCCGTGTCACCACGTATCACGAGTCCGTGTCAAACCCTCTTCCTTAGCCCCTCAGAGGCCAGGATGTGAAGAAGGCTCCACATCCGGCAGGTATCGGAGGCACAGGCACTGGGAAACGCAAAGTGTTTCTGACCCACATCGTTAATGGAGGCCTAGGCTGCTGGAGTTGGAGGGGTCAGTCGAACAGCATGGGAGAGCTCCATCCAGCTGGGTGACTTAGTCTGATTGTATAGATTCTTGTGAGCCTCGGTGTTCATCGTGCACTTGTTCTTGGGACCTGACGATTTTGAGACTAACGTCAGCTATTCGAGGACACCAAAGTGCCAAACATCACCAGAAAGATCACCGAAGATCTCTTGCCTGTTTATAAATATATATATATATATATTGGAGCGTCCTTGCTCCTAGTAGTAAGGCCAGGAGCCCCTAGTAGCGTCCTTGCTCCTAGTAGCGATATAGTTATACATATAACCCCCCTTGGCGGAAGAATTGTAAATCGTCAGAGCGGCCAAAAGATTGGAGGTCAATGACTTCCACTCGTTGGCGCAAAGAGAGCTACCCTCCTTTGTCTGTGCAGCTCGAACTCGAATCATGAGTGCCCGATGCAGTTCCCGCAGAAACGATTGGATGGCGAAGGCTTCTGGAAGGTTCCTCTGGGCCACAATTGATAAGCAGCATGAACTTGAACCAGTCACTGGAATACACAAAACATACAATACATATCAACACAGCACATATCAATACAATCAAAATCAATCAATACATTATACACAGCACTGACACGTGCAAACACCTTCAGCGGGTTGATCCTGAGATTCCAGTGGCGTTTGATCACTGGTCTCCCTTTTTGGACGGCGGCTCGGGGAGATTATTTGTATAATCCTTATTCGACCAAGCCCTCTCCTGATCAGCAAAGCTACCCATGCCTCAATGTCAATGAGCTGGCGATAAGAGAAGGCCTCGACATTTCCTTGGCTGATCCGGCACCTGGACACCGACGGTCTCGGTTTTCCCCATGCATCCCGGTGGATCTTCCAGAGGAGCCTGCAGCCTACTATAACAAAAACACAACAAAAACATGCAACCTCCCTGCAATCATGGAAGTAGACTAAGTAGACCCTGTGCCCACCAAGAGCTCCTGGAAGACTGCCTTCCAAGAGCGGGGGAGCCTGGGAGCCTTCCACTTCCATGCTTGCAGGAAACTCGTATGTCCAAATCCGCGGGAGTCCATCATCTCCCACCGGCGCAATCCACTCCTGAAAGATGTGCCTCAACATGATGAGCGCATCCGTCATCCGGCGCCTCACAGTGAAGTTCCGCTCCACGTCATGCCAGCCATTGCCAACAAAGTCCTGATTGTGAGAAACGGTGGGGCAAAAGTCTACAGAACGATGGAGCTGGCCCAGTGAACAATGAGAACGCGTGGTCTTCAAATTGGTTTGATGTTTTCTCATCAGCTGACGTACACGTGACTTGTGTATATAGTCTCCTCGTGCACAACCGGCCGGTTCGTGAGGTCTTCTTTGTGGATGGGCGGTCCGATAGCTGGAACTCATCACGCGGGCAGTCTTTGCTTGCTTCATTATATAAACAATGTGTCTCTTCAATTGACTGCAGCACACCAGAAGGATAAACTTCATTCATGGCAGGCCCCATCTTCACCGCACACACCACGATTGGCAGCTTTCGGGCCCTCCTCCATGGATGTGGGGTGCTCCGGGTGCAAAGCAGTGACGTTGGGACATGCCCCAGAGGGTCCCGGCGGAGCTTCAAAAAGGTCTGCCCATGCCACCGTAGGAACCTGACCCATGGGTGGTGTACATCACTCAGCACGCCGACTAGCTAACTTGCGACTGGAAAACAAAAATAGATACAGCTACAGTATATATTATAGGGGATATGATATACAGTATATACTACAGTATATAATTATCTTCCCCCACACAAGGCGTCATCAGACTTACAGGAGTGGTGACCTCCATGGTTTCATTGGCACTTCAGCCAAGGCACCAGGTTCGTTGGCAAATGCTCCAGCAGAAGTTTCAGCACTGGAAACTCCCCTGGTAGAGCATAGCGCGGCAACATCTGCCGTAGTTGAGCGTCCTGGCGTCGAACAGCGACGTGAGCATCAGGGTAAATCAAAGCCGATTGATGGACCGAGACCTGGGGGATCATGGAAGACTGCTGGACTTGGGTAAGAACATACAAGGTTATGTGGAACCCACTGCGTTTCAATTTACTTGCGGCATGCATCGTGCGCTACATTATGTTGGTGCAGGATTCGCAACATCGAAGATGTGTTTCCTACTCCTTCAGTGCCTCGCTATTGATCAGTCTGCACCACTTATGCCCCTCTTCATGCCCTATAGGGACAGTTTATTTAAAAAAAAATCAAGCACATATTAGGCTCGCTCCCTCGCGGTCGCCCAAAGGTGTCCCGGCCTTCACAACGTCAATCCAATGTTCAATGGCCCCGTGCACCGCTTGGTCAGGGCCCAAGTATTTCGCCACCAGCAGTGGGTGGCCCAACCAGCCTCATGACAGGCCGACCGTGAGATGGCTTCTGGGGCATCCAGGCCGTTCATGAGACAAGCGATGACAGGCAGTTCACATTGAATGCGATACCAAACATGGGATGTCTGTGCCTGACCCTTCTGGACCCATCACGAAGGGCTAGGTGACGAAGGGCTGTGCTCTGAAAGTTGCCGATTTCAGAAAGATAGGAACTTATGCCTACGTAGTTGAGTCTCCTGGAACTGGCACGCTCTTGGAAAGAAGATGCAAGATACACTCTCAAGGGTTTCTTCCACGCGAAAGTGGGACACCATTACAGTATCATGGATCCTGGCAATCCAGAGTTGGGCACAAAAAATGCTTCGTTGCCTTGACCAAATTCAGTGGCTGTCACTCTGCTTGGGAGGTTGACCCACAGCTAAAAAGTGGGATCAAATCCAGAATCCAAATCTTCAAGTGCATCTCTTTGTGCTGCTAGCTGTCAAGCTCTTGGCAAAATCATTCCAGCGGGAACTCCCTGAAGCTCCTGAAGGCTTCTCAGATCTTCTTAAAGGTTCCACCCCAGCCACTTAATCCCCTGGGTAAAACCATCCGAATCGCCCGGCCGATGGACCGTGCATGCTCCAGGGTGCCTTGCTCCGAGCAAAGCGCATGCTCCGTGGCGCAGTTCACCGCGCCAAAGCGCAGAAAGGCGACCTTGGCCTGACGCAAGCGCAGCGCGAGGCCTCAGTTTTGGGCGCTAAGGGGGGTTTTCACAAAGCCCAACAAACCAAAGTTGTACCAGGGTAGGCGGGTAGGCTGTCCTTGTTGAGCTGGGCTCATGGAAAGGCTCAAGCTTCATGCGGCCGCAGCCATCAACAGACTGCTTCGCTTAGACACGTCTCGATCTTTTTCCCTTCAGCTTAGCATCGTGTAATGACCCCAAGCTTCTCTCTCCCACAGAGAGAGCACTTCCACCACAAACAAAGTCTCTTAGCTAGAGAAAGGACATTCTTCACTCACCTCACTGAAACTGAGAAAAATGAAGAACATGTTTTTAGTGGCTGGGACGTGGTTGGCAGAGTATAAGGCTTGGATCACCTTGAATCCGAATGCCATCTAAAAGAACAAGTATGAACACGTGCTGAATTAATGGCAGTGTCGATACAGCAGGGGCATCAGCTGCTGGCAATGAGGGCACCAATGCACAAAAACCTCAGGACGTCTTGGGCGCCAATCACCCAGCACCGCTCTTGCATGAATAGGTCCTGGCTTATTATTTGTTTGCTTCTGGGCAAGTAAAATTTATTTGTTGGAGTTGCACATAAAACGTGTTGCTTTGCGAATGTAGAATGACGTATAGATATGTGTATATACACCATGATTAAGCATCCTCAGCCCTCAACATAGTACGAATATGACAGTCAACCTTTCCATATGCAGCCTACCACAGGAAACGTTCATCTTGCAATCCCCCTTGGTGGGTTGCGGTCTAGCGAGCCTGAATTCTCATCAACATGGAGCCTGACCATTGGAAGTTCCACGAAGTTCCCATAAATTACTGATGTATGGGGTCCATGTTGGTCGAGAAACGAATCTTTGAAGATCTTTGAAGCATTTCCTTGCTTGACCAACAGGGTTTCTGTTCAGACCTTTGTCACTTGGGAGCCCTACAGGGCCCCGTAAATTTACCAATTTGGACTGTTGATCCGTTGCATCCCTGTAGCTCTGGATGGGCGGTGGATCACTTACGCACCACAGATTTGTCTCACTTGCGCACCACAGCATTTTCGCTCACTTACGCACCACAAAATTGGATCACTTACGCACCACGGAGCTCTAAACTGCTGTAAGGGTTGCCAAAATGACTCAACCACCCGAGGTCCGCATCCACAGCCATGCTCACTTACGCACCACGAATCTCCTGATCACATCATCACAACTTATATCCGGGTGGGGTGCGCGGGGGGTGGGGGGGATCTAATGGAATGATTGGCTTGCGGCTACATCATCACATAATACATCCGGGTGGGGTGGGGGGGGGGGGGGGGGGGTGGGGATCTAATGGAAGCTTGCGGTGCATAAGCGAGACAAATCCGCGGTGCACAACCGAGACAATTCCGCGGTGCACAAGCGACCCACCAACCGCAGTGGATGCTGGCTAGACGCACCGACCAAACAACCAATCACATCAACATACATCAACTGACCTTCCACCCTTGCAGGACTTTACAGGGTTGGTTGATGTTGAGATTTGCACCATCCAACTCCATCGACATCCATCGCAGGTTCCAGGCCTTGAAGATCCAAAACTCGCTTTTGAAGGCGCCGCACTCCTCGGCGGACCCTCCAAACACCGCTGAACAACTTAGGCTCCGCCCAGTGGAGAGAGACGGTCCGGGAGCCGGGGGGCTTCGGACCCTCCGTACTCGCGCACCGTTGGGCATGGAGTGAAGCCATCGGATGGAGGTGCCAAAATCGTTTTTCTCCATCAGCGAGGATTCGAGGATTTGGATGGATTCGGCCCTAGTGTGGTATCAAAAAAAACAGCCCAGGTGATGTCCTATCAGTGGTCCCCTTGCAGATCTCCCGTCTAATAATCTAATCCCATCTACCACCAACAATAGAGCTCGACCCCAGAAATAGCAAACAATCACACGTTCACAAGGGGCGGAAGGTGATCAGACTTAGGAAATCAGTTCTTTCATCTCTGACCATGAAATTTGCGCAGCGAGTCCTCCAAAGCATAGAACATCTCAGCATCCACATTCACGACGGCCAAATCAATATGTGATGGATTGGTTTCAGACTTCAGCTCCTCAAATGGACAGAATTGTGCATATTGCCTGCAGATTCCTCAGTTGGCAAAAAGTGATGGCATGGCCCGTCACAGTTGTGAAAGTTTCATTGAGCATCCTTCCAGACAGGGAGCCGACACACCTGTCATAGCTTCCGACCAAAGACCAAAGCGCCCACCATCTCCAACCCTCTACATCCCTCCACAACCCAAGGCCAGGCGACCTGCATGTGCATAGAAGCGAGGAGGATAGCGACAGAACAAAGCACGAGCATCTTTGGCTTCGGGGTGTTCACCTTGGAAAAGCCCCTGGGAATCGGTGATTCCAAGTGGGCAAGGTCTGTTCGCGGTAACTGGGGCTCTAGGTGTTGCATCTTTGAGCAAGGATAGCTTTAGACCCTCCCCCATGCATGTACAGCAAACCCACGTTTGTCATCTGACTTCTCGATTGCTTTCAACACCTGTCATCTTCAACACCAGAAAACCACTTGCAAAAACACCAATGCCCCGTTTGCCGTGAAGAGAGTTACTCCCAAACACAAAACCACGTTTATCACACGAACCCCAAACAAAACTAAGTTTGATCCAGTGAAGGCATAGTTCATTCCAGTGCAGACTGGCAAATTATCTTCTTCTGCCGGTCAGGTAGGTGCTATCTTACTGGGGCGCCGCTGGTGGATGCTGAAGTAGAAGCTCAAGTTCCTGTCAAGGGCCTGAAGAAAAGCTACACCTCTTACAAACTTGTAGATCCGACATCCAAGGAACATCCAGAACAGCCACTCTAATGCTAATAAAAAACCGGAACGGCAACCACATACAAATACTTAAAAGGAAAGACTTCCAAGACTCCCCAAGCTGACTGACGGCTCCAAGTCACAGAACTTGTTTCCGATCATATCCGACACTCCGCTGAGGTCGGCCCCAGCCCCAAAGCGGCTGCAGGCCGCCGCACCCAGCGCCGCTCGCCGCGGCGCCGCGCAGCGGGCGCCGTTCGTCGCAAAGAGCTGCGCAAAGGTCGTCTCAGCCAAAGGGTCCAAGTCGTAGAAGCGATGACCCGACCTCCGGTGGACGAGCCCCAAGAATGGAAGCTCCAATGGGCGCAGGCGGTGGGAATGGAAGACTTGAAGAAAGGATGAAAGAAGAGGCGAGGAATCATTTCATGTACCCTGCAAGCTGATTGGCAAAGAGGCAAAGACCCTATGCATCGAGCAACAGCCTTCTTTAGAGCCACTAAGAACATGTGCGTGGATTGCGGAATTGCAAATCTACGGTTGATGGATTGACAAAGCCCAGTGGCGATGGCTGGGCACTCATTATTCACTTCTGCCTTTGGCTTGGTCATACCAAGCCATCCTATGATAGAAAAGCAGCATCCTCCAAATCAGTGTCCAGTGGCATATATTATTGGCCAACTACTTTTCCAGGACTATTTGACTATCCAAGAATTCGGCGTGTTGAAAGGGAAACTAACTGCCCGACTTGTGCCTTTCCAGTTCGATGGTGATGATGATGTCCTCATCTCCGCCCCAACTCCTCAGCCATGAGGGTAATATTTGCGGCTTCCAACAGCACTTCATACCTTTGGGTAGTCTACCCATCCCCTGAATCCATCCAAATCCTGCCATATGCAGCTGAAGGCTTCCGCTCCACGCTCTCTGCCGGCACCCGCACGTTGCCCCAGACCGAGCCGCCAGCCTCCCAAGGACACGGGGCACTCCACGGCTCCTGCAGCCGCAGCCCGTCATGCGCTCGGCGCCACCAGCGGCTACCGCAGAGCTCTTCACTGCCGGCCAGGACCCAGCCGAAGGAAAGCAAGGAATGGCATAGGCGGTGCATAGCAGGGAAAATCACCCTAAACCATCAACTGCCCTTTCACGATCTTGACACTTGGTACAGTAGTTGTTTTGGGTAGGGGCTGGTAGGCTTGGGGATGGCGCCACGAGTCTGAACAAAACATGCGTTGAATTGCAGGACAAAGGCACTATAAATTTGTGTGCTCAACACTCACGCCAGGTAAAGACGCCTTTCCCTGCTTCTTGGTACCAGTGTGTCAGCTGCGCGTTCTGGAAGGCAAAGTGGCGGTTCCACGACAGCTGAGGCGTTTGGAACGGCGGATGCCAAGCTATGAATTTGGCATGCAGCTAGGTTGAGCTTGCGTTGATGTCGGTTTCCAGGTACGTCCTCTATGAAGGTCACTGGGTCACTGGAAGGACCTTTCTTAGTGATGCCTTGTTAAATCGTGTTGATACCATCAGCTTTCTGCCCACTGCCAGCTGGCATAGGCGAACGGATCAGGTGCATGTCAAATCATGACAGGTCATGACCGTCAATCACAGGTTGGAAGTCTGAATTATATAACTATAGCTTCCAAAGTCTCTCTCTACATGTCTATTTATATATATATATACATTAGGTATATGATTGTATGTGTGCGTGCAATTATGTGTATGTTGATCATCCTTGCGAGTTGCTGTCCAAGTAGAGTTGTGTAAGCAAGTCATACAAGTTTTGACTATATAGATGTGTGGCAACCCAGCTGAATTCATTCTCTACCAGGTTGCAGCTCAATCCCTGACCTCAACTTCGGAACAAGCTCTTCATCGGATCCTACACCCCCAACTCACTCACCTGGAAGTGCCAGATCTGGCTGCATCCCAAGCCACGCAGGAGCCCAAACTGGCAACCCCTGGGGCCCGGCCTGGTTCGTTCCGTGACGAACCGGGTGCCGACGAAGCGGCCATGGAACCATCGGTCTGACGGCAAACGTCGTCCACCAGAATCCACCCAACGTGTCCAGCACCATTCTTCCATGGTCAGCACCGCAAAACCTAAGGAGTCTGTATGATTTCCTACACTCTGACTCACTAACATGGAAGTGGAACATGTGTCCTCTACAAACAGGCGGTTTTCTACTTCCATGTTAGTGAGCTCAAAGTGTGTGCATTTCTTATGTCTCCCTGCTCCAGCTTCCATCTCATATCTGAAAGCTTTTCGACTCCATGTCATGTCTGCACCAGCTACCTTTGGCAGCCAAGTTTGGGCTACTCTGCGGGCCGGTCGCAGCGACCCGCAGGCCGGGCTTCGGGCTTGGTTCGGTGGGCGGCCTGGAGGAATGGGCTAACCTGGTAGGTGACCTGTTAGTAGGGGTTCTCAGAGATGGATTGCATCATCCATTTTCCCAGCAGAATGCTCATCCAAGCATTTCAAGAGCATGTCCATGCACTTTAAGTGACAGAAAAAGATCTTTAAAGTTCGGATGTCTTTGACTTTGCTAGCAACATTAATGGATAATCTCCTTGGCTGTTGCAGGCCTCCAATCTCATCGTCCGCTTTGTACAACAGCCGGGCCCTTGGCTTTGACCGGTGTTTAACGCAATGTGAAAAGGCGACACGAAATGCGGAAAGACAAGGGCCCGGAATGTCCGCGTGAAACGAAGTTCTTCGCTGCGCCGTCATGAGCCACCTCAGCGCGCGAGCGCTCACAGGTGCATGTTGGAGCTTGTGCCCCGCAAATAGAACAACACCAAATTGAATGGGTACTTTCAAGTCACTACAGCATGGGGGTGGCCCACTTTCCACGTCATAATCTGATTGTAAAGCCACTATCTGATCAAACAGGACAAGACAGACTTCTGTTGCGCTTCTTCATTGGCCACACCACATGCACAAAGCTACTTTGAGGATCTTTGAGGCAATCTCTTAACTTGTCCAAGCACTTCCGCTGATACAAGTGCACCATGAGGAGACTTCACTCACACTTCTGGATCTCTAAAAAAAGCCACAACCACCCCCATTTCAGTGCTGTTGCTAAGCCTGCCCGGCCCCCAAAAAAGGATGAATCATCCCAGCGCACCGCTGTTGATCTGTGCGAAGTTCACGTCCACGATCCAACGCATCAACCGCAAACAGCCATGGAAGTCCAAGCGTTCACCTTGATCGGCCCCGTCGACATCGCTCGCGTCGCTCCACGACACCTCCCTTCTTACTCGGGCGGATGAGGTGGAGAGATGGCTGGATGGTGGTTCAAAGAGTATCCAGTCAGTCACTCAGGACAAACATCTGAACGTCAGCGGCTTTATTAGTGGGTCGAGTATTGGCGGAGGCTGGCTACAGAGTTTTGTGTCTATTTATATCTATCTAATCCAATCCAGATCTAATCTAGTCTGATCTATCTCCCTCCCTCTCCCCCGCATCATCACCAGTATGAGAGAGGGCGAAGATACCAAACCAAGAAAAAGCTGACTATATGTAGCTGTTGCCCTGACTTGGTCAACTGCTGGGTTTCCCTGACCGCTGAACTTGTGAATCATCTGGTCCACTTGCGCCTGGAGTCATGGCATTGCGTCATGCAAAGGCGACTTGACTTGGAGAAAAGATTGGGGAAGGACATGGCACAAGTAGGATGAATGCGAAAAATGAACATTACCTAGGAATTTATTGCAAATTCAGACTTCAGCCCAGACTGAGCCTGCCAGTCCTATCCTTCGTGCGCCTCCCCGATGTTTTGAACTCTGACCCCTTGTAGGGATTAATCTTCTTGTGGAGGTGGGTGGGCGGCAGCAAAGCCACCTTTGTTGCATGCAAATATCAAACATATATTTATATATGTCATCTCTGGAAGGGGGGCAGTCAAGTATCTTCGTTAATCGAACGTCTGGAACATGAGAAGTGACTTTCTCAAGGACCTATAATGCCATACAATGCTATATACCTGTGGAACGTGGTGGCCATTCTGATCCATGTCTCTATCACATTCTATTACCATGACCGAAGGTGGACCTCTTCAAACGACCAACTGACCTCAGGCTCTACTTGCCTGTTAGATGTTCAGTGACGACTTGGGATCTTCTGCGGTGGTCCTTATTCCGTTTCAAGACTTCCCCAAAAAGTAGGTCGGACAGCCAACGCTCTTCGTCCACGAGTTGGGCGAACAGCATCCTGGACATCGACCCGGTGGATGGCATCCTCGGCCGAAATCAGCCAAGCCACCCGGGAAGAGTTGTCCAGACGGATACCCATCGAGCGCAAGAGCTTGTACACTGAGCTCCTGTCATTCAGTTCGCACACCCAGCTCATGTGCCTCAATGTGGGATCAACTCCTCTCATCTCATCTCCATACAATGTTGACGTCTGCGATCACCAATACCATCCGCTGTCCGTGTTTGATATGTTTGATGCAACACACTCCCACAACACAACTTGGGTTATTGAACTGGACTGTACCGCTGGTCGAGGGGCAAAGAAAGACTACCAACCCCTGCGCTGCCCTGCGCAACTCGCCTGGACCTATCATGGAATCTGGAAAAGCTGGGCTGGCACGAGGAGTCAACTTGTACAATGTCCCCTGCAAGGTGATTCTAGCATCGCCGAATAGTTAAGGAGAAGTGCAAAACGCACTCTTAGGGCACTGGGAAACCTTTTTTTCCTGTAGCTTTGAGTGCTACTTCAAAATGCCTGGCAAAGAAGAGCCCGGGTCCAACTTGCTGTTTGAGACTCCTCAAGCACGTTAGCTTACACCTTCAATACACAGTACCCGTACAGGAATTCTGGAAGAGCATCCCTCTCATACCACTTGTCTCAGTTCATCCAGAGAAGACCTCAGCGACCATTGCCATATAGTTATACAGTTCTACATTGTTCACCAGGAGTAGCGCCTCTCCCCACGGCCTCAGGATCTAGCCAAAGCTTTTGCCTATCAGCAGGGACTGCTGTATGTTTGAATGGCCTTCTTTTAATCTCGGCTCTCCGCAGCGCAATCTGTGCCGCGCAGCGCTTTGCGGCGCCCCGGGTCCTTGAGATTGTCCTTGGTTTTGAGATCGTGGCCGCGAAAGGCGGGATAGCTCTGACCAATGCGTGTCAAGTGGAGTCTTGTTTTGGCCCATGGTCCTCACTTTTCTAGACGGTGGCTTGTGTACTGCGCAAACATGATGGCGCAATATGACGCGCAAACTATCTAGGATGTCCACCTCCCGAGTTTCGGGGTGCACTGGGGCACTTTGACTCGGCAAGTCAGCGAACCACTGGAGAAACTAGTTCGAGGCTTCAAGGGGGGCATCCATAAACAAACACTGGAATGCCTCCGTTTCAATTTCAGAAGAAAAGGAAGACCGATCCCTTTGTTGAATGCAGCATGAAAGGAAGTTTGCCAATGTTTGTCATCTAGAGAAAGCTTTCAAAAGAAATGGCACAAGGTTCACGGATATTGTCGTACGAGGCCATGAAATGAACATTTGCAAATCCTTTGGCTCTTTGGAAGTGGAAAAGGGCCAACGAGAAGAACAAAGAATTGATCCTGGATGGGCTTCTCCATCCTCACGCTCTCTTTCTCCACCAGTTCTCACATCACAACCTCTGAAACTCTCAACCATCTATAGTATTTATGACTCATTGTTGTAGCTATGACTGCAATCTTACGAATCGCCATTTGTTCCAAAATAAATAACCAACCAAGTCCGCCTCCTCGTGGTCGCCGAGCCGCTTTTTGCGGAGCCGGTTGCTGGGGTGATCTGCCTCGCCAGGCTCTTGCTCCGCCATCCACAGGTTCACGAAGGCGTCATTGAACTCGCTTACCTGCTTAGGGTAGAAATTCGGGGACCAAAGAAACATCCATGAGCATCCGGTTTTAAGGATCGAAGGGTAGAAAACACGTCTTTCAGGTCACATTGTGGTTATATTGTGTGATTTGAATGCCTGACAGGGTCCAAGCTGACTGTTTCTCAGCAGGAGCATGAATTACGACAAGCATACCGATACCCCAAATATGAATGACCCGATGACCCGTGACTCGTCGTCAACCCCCTCTGCTTCTCCCAGCCTCGCTCATGATGAATCCGGTCTCATCCGCCACCTGTTGAGGTTGGGTCCACCGCAGCAGGGGAACTAACCAGCAAACATCAGCAAACGCTTCCTGTCAATCGATTCACGTTATCTTGGCACCAGTTCACGGCGCATGGTGGCTAATCATTAGACCGATGCGAGGCAGCCAAGAAGGGCTGCCTACTCTCGGGAGCTTTCGCCGCAGTCAATGCAGTCGCCCGGCGAGTGTTTTCCAAAGAAAGTTCGCCCCTAAAGAGAAGGACACTGGAAACCAAGGCTTTGTAGTTCAACCCAATGAACTCTCAGTATACTCCCGACACAAGTTTCATTGTTCCCGAACTTTAGGGGCAAAGCTGCAAAGCTCGGCGGCAACCTGGGTCGTGGTTACCAGCACCATCCAGCACCTTTGCCCGACCGTCGATGGCCACCCCATCGCCTGGATGAGCTCCTGTTCGGCTTCCCGCTCGTGGTTCACGAAGAGCGCCTGGAGCCTCAGACGTCCGGGTGTCCGGATGGGATGATTCGAAGAGCCATCGTGATTCGTGATATATATGAACATGGCGTCTCTATCATAAACAAATATAAACAATGGTGTTTTTTGGGTTTTTTTCCTCCGCGAGGTGCGAAGGTAACTGGGAACACCGGTGCAACAGAAAATGCTCCAAAGCTGGGGCTAATTGACCTTCCATCGGGCCAAGCCGACCAAGTTGAAGACTCCAAAAGCGGTCTAACTTTCACCCCTTTCACCCGCCTTTGCCTGCCTGCGACATGCCTGTCCGGAAAGCACTACGGACATGAAACCTATTGAAACATGGTTTCCGACATGCTGTTCCAAGGTGCAATTGCAGCATCACATAGAAGTTGACGCCTCCACGGTCCCGAGCATCCTTACAGCAAAAAACGACCTGGTTTGGAGACCAAGCTGCTTGACAGCCCCATTGATGCCCATTATGCGAAGAATGTCACAGGACAGGTCAGGTGCCCATTTTTAACTTCGTCAGAGGCCAGCATGAACAGGCTGTTTGGATCATTGAATAGTCATCCGTCGGAGCTCGCCCTCCTTTCTGGAAGCCCTCCCATTTCCACGTTAGCATACATTAGCCTCGTTAGCCTCTGTATGACAACAGTCCGCAGCCCCAAAAGCCCCCTAAG